TATAGTTTTTCTAATCTTTTTTTTTTTTTTTGAGACAGAGCCTTAAGCTATTGCCCTGGGTAGAGTGCTATGGCATCACAGCTCACAGCAACCTCCAACTTCTGGGCTCAAGTGATTCTCCTGCCTCCGCCTCCCAAGTAGCTGGGACTACAGGCGCCCACCACAACGCCCAGCTATTTTTTGGTTGCAACCGTCAATGTTGTTTGGCGGGCCCAGGCTGGATTCGAACCCGCCAGCTCAGATGTATGTGGCTGGCGCCTTAGCCGCTTGAGCCACAGGCACTGAGCCAGTTTTTCTAATCTTAGTAGAGACGGTTCCCACTCTTGTTCAGGCTGGTCTCAAACTCCTGAGCTCAAGTGATCCTCCCGCCTTGGTCAGAGTGCCAAGATGATAGGTGTGAATCACAAAGATCCCAAGCAAAAACCATCCCAAGTACCTAGTTAGCTCCCAGGACTGAGATAAATCATAGTAAATGACAGTTGTTGTTTTACATTTCTACATTTTCTGATACGTCCTCTTTAATCAAAGAATCAAAATCTACTGAACCTTATTTGAACCTGTAAGGTGTAGGCCTCCTCCTGCCAAGGTCCCCAACAGGCAGAAAGCAAAGCCAAATTGAATTGCCCTTCCAGTGGGCAGGTAAATATGGAGGAGATACAAGTGACCTGCCTCACAGCCTTTGCACTGATGTTCTCTCCTCCCAGTTCTCCCCTTCCCCTAGGTATTCACTTGACTTGCTCCCTCACTGCTTATAAAGCTATCTCCTTAGAGAGCTTATGCTAAGCAGTAAATCTCCCTAATTAGAAATATAATCCTCATGAGCTTACGAGAGCAGGGACTATATTGCCAATGCTTATGATGGTAGCCAGGCACACAATTCACATGTAAGAGACATTTGTTGAATGAATGACTCTCCCGAGTCTTCCTCTGTGTCTCTCAATAACAATCCCAGACCTAGCAGAGGAAAAAGAGGGAGCAGGTGTGGTTTACTGGTGTCTTCTGTAACATCACCACAAAGTGTGATTCCCTTGCATTAATTCATGCAACAACTACTTGTTGAGCATCTACTACATGCCAGGCCCTAGTCTAGGCACTAGGAATACAGCTGTGATGAAAACAAGACAAAATCTCTGCCTTCAAAGAGTTGACATTCTAGTGAGAGAGATATGCACGGCAAACAAGATAAAGAAAGAAAATAGTTGATATGTGTGGTGAAGTCCTCTCTTCTTAGATATGGGCCAGCCCTAATAACTCAGTTAACTCAATCTAATAAACAGTATGCAGCAGAACTGGCAGTGAGTTGCTTCCAACTGTAGGCTATAAAAGACAATGTATCCTCGGCTCAGCACTCATAGCTCAATGGTTAGGTTGCTGGCCACATACGCCACTGGGGCTGGCAGGTTTGAACCCAGCCCAGCCCTGCTAAACAATAATGACAACTACAACTAAAAAACAGCCAGCCATTGTGGCAGGCACCTGTAATCTCAGCTACTTGGGAGGCTGAGGCAAGAGATCGCTTAAGCCCAGGAGTTTGAGGTTGTTGAGAGCTATGATGCCATAGCATTCTACTAAGGGCAACACAGTGAGACTCTGTCTCAAAAAACAAAAAACAAAAAACAAAAAAACCAATGTAGCTGGTTCAGTGCCCACAGCTCAGTGGTTAGGGCGCTGGCCACATACACCAGGGCAGGTTGGTTCGAACCTGGCCCAGGGCTGCTAAACAACAATGACAACTACAACGAAAAAACAGCCAGGTGTTGTGATGGTGCCTGTAGTCCCAGCTACTTGGGAGGCTGAGGCAAGAGAATTGCTTAAGCCCAAGAGTTTGAGGTTGCTGTGAGCTGTGACGTCATGGCACTCTACCGAGGGTGATATAGTGAGACTCTGTCTAAAATAAAAAATGTAGCTTTCATATGGTTCTCTGGACTCTTGTCCTGAGGCCTCGCTGTCATGGTGTGAGGAAGCACGGGCCACATGAGGAGGCTGCAGGCAGGTGTTCCAGCTGATGCTTGTTTCAACCACTAGATGTGTCTATGAAGAAGCTTTCCAGGCTGGGTGCAGTGGCTCATGCCTGTGAGCCTAGCACTCTCAGAGGCCAAGGTTGCTTGCTCTTAGGAGTTTGAGACCAGCCTGAGCAAGAGTGACACTCCATTTCCACTAAAAGTAAAAAAAGTGGCAGGTGCCTCTAGTCCCAGCTACTCAGGAGGCTGAGGCAGGATAGTCCTGTAAACAGGAGAGTCCCGTAAACACAGTAGTTTGAGGTTACTCTAGCCTAAGACAACAGAGTTAGACTCTTGTTTCAAAAAAAAAAGAAGCAGCTTTCCACAAGATTCTACGCCCAGCCACCATGGGACTTCACAACTGCCTGAGAGATCCCAAGCAAAAACCATCCCCTGTGCCTAGCCAGCTCCCAGGCCTGAGAGAAATCATCATAGTGAATGACAATTGTTGTTTTACATTTCTACATTTTGGGTGATTTGTTCAACTGAGCTAACCAAACAGGATGTTAGAAAAGGAGATAAAACAGTGAGGGGGGATAGAAAATGTGGAAGTATAAGGATATAGGAAAAAATCCAAATTAAAGTGCCTTTCCTATTCTCCCACTCAACAATCAACACAGAATGAAGACATCTGTGACCTCATGTATGGCTAATGTGTGGGGTTCCCACACACATACCAGGAAAGCAGCCAGTTCTGCAGAGGACACCAGCTGGGTCTTCTGGGCCACTGGGGTTGGCCACTGGTTGACTTTCTGCCCCACCCCTCAAAATCTGCCTTGGTCTTTCTGGAGACCAGCCCCCATCCAGAATCTGCCAAAGGGTTTCCAGCCACCAGTCGACTCATTAGCATACAAAAAGACACTTTAGAGGATGTGATGTCTGCCTCTGATAATCCTAGCACTCTAGGAAGCTTAGGTAGGTGGATTGCTTGAGCAGGGTGAGGGTAGGGGTTTGAGACCAGCCTGAATAAGAGAGGCACCCTATCTCTACTAAAAATGGAAAAAACAAAACAAAACAGAAACCCCCCAACTAGCCAGACATGGTAGTGCATGCCTGTAGTCTCAGCTGCTCAGGGAGGCTGAAGCAAGAAGATGGCTTGAGCCCAGGAGTTTGAGGTTGCTGTGAGCTATAATGATGTCACAGCACTCTACCCAGGGTGACAGAGTGAGACTTTGTCTCAAAAAAATAAATAAATAAATAAAATAATACATAAAAGGCCCAGCACAGTGGCTCACACCTGTAATCCTAGCACTCTGGGAGGCCAAGGTAGGTGGATTGCTTGAGCTCACGAATTCAAGAACAGCCTGAGCAAAAGCGAGACCTTGTCTCTACTAAAAATAGAAAAACTGGGTGGTGGCTGTACTCAGTGGGTAGGGGGCTGACCCCATATACCAAGGGTGGTAGGTTTGAACCCAGCCCCAGCCAAATTGCAACAACAAAAATAAATAAATAAATACAAATAGAAAAACTGAGGCAAGAGGATCGCTTGAGCCCACGAGTTGGAGGTTGCTGTGCGCTATGATGCCATAGCACTCTACCCAGGGTGACAGCCTGAGACTCTTGTCTAAAAAAGAAAGAAAGAAAGAAAGAAAGAAGACACTTATCACTTTGGTGATTCCAAGGGAGAATGCCAAGATTCGAGGAAGGTTTGCAATTTTAGCATGGCTAGGGAAAGCCCTATAGATCTCCTCAGGGGGTAGGAGGGAACAGGCTGGTGGTACCAGTGCCACCAGGTCCCTACCCCACTTACCTATGTGTGGTGGCATCACAGCCACGTACGTCAGGCCCGATTCCTGCAGCACCTTGTGCATCCTGATATGGTCATCAGTCACATCCTTCAGTCGTTGGGGCACCTTGGCTGGGTCCCACAGCAGGAAGGCTAGGGGAGGACACAGGGCAGGGTCAGCCTGGGTTCCACTGTCTTGTCCTTGGTGCCAGGACAAGATCCTGCTGTGGCTCACCACTGCCTTCCAGTTGCAAAAACGGGGGTGTCCTCTTGGCCTCCTCTCTCTCACACCCCAGATAAACACTGTCAGTGGATCACAATAATCTCAAATTTAACCTTTTTATTCCACCTGGCTCTGTCCACTGCTACCTCTTTGCTGGGACCACTGCAATAGCCTAGTCACCCTGGCCACCTGTCCTGCTCCCTCCAGGTAGCCAGAGGGAGCCTGTGAGCACCTGAATCAGGTCACATAGGCTCCATCTCACTCAGGGGAAAAGCAAAGTCCTCATCAAGTCCAGCCCAGTAGTCCCCACCTGATCTGACCCCATCACTCTCCAACATCACCACCCACACATACTCTCCTCTCAGTCCTTCAATTCAGACTCACAGCCTTTGCAATGCTGATCCCTCTGCCCACAATGTGTTTTCCTCTCAGTCATATGGGTCCCTCCTTTTCCTTGCAGACTTTACCGAAAGTTGACCTTTCAATGCTGCTTTCCTAGACCATCCTATTTAAAATTGCAAAAGACCCTTTCGCTGGCCCAGCATAGCCAATCCCCTTTGCCCTGCCTGGTGTTCTCCCTAGCACCCTTCCTCTCCTCCAACACCATCAAGTAACCCGGTGTTCCCTGCTTCATCCTTAGCCTCCAGAAGGGCCTGGAACACTGCAGGTACTCACTAAATATTTGTTGCAGGAATTGGCCTTAGCCAAACTATAATGATACCAGCCAAACCATAATAATACCAGTTGACAATGATGGATCACTTACCACCTGGCAAGAACTAAATGTTTTAGAAGCAGTTTGGTGAAATAGTTAAAAGCTTGGGTTATACCTAGGTTCAAATTCTGGATCTGCCACTAGCCAGCTGCCTCTGTTTCCTCGAGTGTAAACTGGGATAATAGTTGTTCAAGTTACTACTAGTGGTTATAAGAAGGTATGGCACAGAGGAAAACTCATTCACTTTTCCTAATTTCCTAAAACTCACTAATTGTCTCATGGATTCATTCATTCTTTCTTTCTTTCTTTTTTTTTTTTGCAGTTTTTGGCTGGGGTCAGGTTTGAATCTGCCACCTCCGGTATATAAGGTTGGCGCCCTACTCCTTGAGCCACAGGCACAAGCCACAGCCACAAGCCTGTCTCATGGATTCATAGGAAATAGCATTCCCTCTTTTTTTTTTGAGACAGGAGCCTCAAGCTGTCCCCCTGGGTAGAGTGCTGTAGCATCACAGCTCACAGCAACCTACAACTCCTGTACTCAAGGAGTCTCCTGCCTCAGCCTCCCAAGTAGCTGGGTCCCTGCCACAATGCCCGGCTGTTTTTTGATTGCAGCCGTTATTGTTATTTGGCAGGCCCAGGCTGCATTTGAACCTGCCACCTTAGGTGTATGTGGTTGGCACCTTAGCCATTTGAGCCACAGGCACCGAGCCAGTATTCCCTCTTTATAGATGAGATAATTGAGGCTCAGGCTCGGCGCCTATAGCTCAACTGGCTAAGGCGCCAGCCATGTACACCTAAGGTGGCAGGTTCGAATCCCCAGCCCGGGCCTGCCAAACAAGAATGACGGCTGCAACCAAAAAATAGCCAGGCGTTGTGGCGGGCGTCTGTGGTCCCAGCTACTTGGGAGGCGGAGGCAGGAGACTCGCTTGAGCCCAGGAGTTGGAGGTTGCTGTGAGCTGTAATGCCATGGCACTCTACCCAGGGGGACAGCTTGAGGCTCTGTCTAAAAAAAAAAAAAAAAAAAAGAAAATTGAGGCTCAGAGTGTGAAATGGTGGCCAAAGACCAAATAGCGAAGACCTTGTGGCCCTACTTCCCTTCCTCCTTATTCAATGTTGTTGGCAGCCTGCAGCCTCCATCCTCCAATTTCAAATCCATTCTGTATTTCAGCCTGGGTTTCTTTCTAATCCTCTCAGACACCTCCTTAAAAAAATAATTCTTCCCAGGCCCTAATGAATAAACACCAAGCTCCTCAGATGGCAAGGATCTTTCTAATCTTTTACCTTGAAATTTGAATAAAGAAGGAATATTGGCCTCTCATAATTATAGGCTAAGAGAGAATTAGTATTAAATTTCTCAGATGTGATAGTAGTACTTTGGTTCTGGAAGAGAAAGTCCTTTTCTTTGTTTAGAAATTGCTGAAGGTGTCCCTTGGTCTGTAACTCCATTTCAATAGTTTAAGAAAACAAAAACAAAACCAAAAAATATTCGTGTGTGTTTGTGTGTGCATAGATATACCAATTATAATGAACATTATCTGTTTCTGAATCAAGATGGTGGGAAGATGGGTGTTCACTCTACTCTTCTTTCAACTTTGCTGTCTGAAAATTTTCATAATAAAAAATTGAAAAAATGTGTTAAGAAAGACACACCAAAGCAAATGACCCTGACCTGCTGTCACCTTCAAATGGGCCACAAGAAGAGAGACAGAGGTGTATTTTTAACTTTTCTCTAAGGTTTTGATTTCTAAATACCAAGTTAAAAGAAAAAAAAGAGCCAAATCCTGGCATATGTGTGACTTTAATTAAAAAGAAAAAATTTAGTTGTCAGCGCAAATGACTTTAATATTTGTAAAAAAATCTACACAAAAAATTTTGGAAATAGGGCGGCACCTGTGGCTCAAAGGAGTAGGGTGCCGGCCCCATACGCTAGAGGTGGCGGGTTCAAATCCAGCCCTGGCCAAAAACTGCAAAAAAAAAAATTTTTTTTGGAAATAAAAGAATGTAAACGAAATCAATTTTATAGTGTCTTTCAAAACTTGTTTTAACCACTCAAATTGGTCTTCAAAACACGGGACAAAAAAAATGAAACATTAAGAGCGGATCATTCTAAGATTATAGCACCTACTCTGTGTCAAAGGAGTTTTGGGAGGATTAAGTGGCATTTATCCCTAAGATGCACAGATAGCATCTAGCATACAGCAAGTGCTCAATAAATGCTTTCAGCATGAACAGCTCCCTTTGGATAACTCAGACAACCATTTGCTTAATGCCCATCTCTTCATAGCTGGGAGCTCTGTGAGGGCAGAGACCCAGCTGCAACCACAGCTATCACTTCCTCTGGAGGCACCCCTGACCTCTCTTAGGCCAGGGCAGATGCCTCCTCTCGGCTCCCACAGTCCTCTAGGCTTCTTCCATCCTGGCCCTGACCCCTTGGCCTGTGCCTCCCTCATCCCAGGCCTGATTATCTGGGATGTCGATTTGATCATGGATCTGTCTGCCACCTCCACCTTTGTGAGCCCATCTGTGAGAGTGGGGCCCAGGGCTGTGTTGGTCACCACAATATTCTCAGCATTACCCAGCAAGGTTGGGGCACACAGCTGGTGCTCAGTAAATGCATGGTAACTTGAAGTGACTTCAATGCCACCTTTCATAGACCCCTGGGCTACCTGTTCAATACCCACTCCCCAGTTCAACCCCCATTCCACAACCCCGCCACCCACCCGAGGTACAGGCCACGACCTTGTCCACACCATGAGCCTTCATGGCTGCCACAATGTTCTGGGCACCCTCGGACATCACTGTAGTAGGACCTTAGAGGGGACAGAGAGTAGCTGTCACTGGTAGGCGGTGGTGGTGGTGGCAGAGGTGGCAGGGGCGGGGCAGGGGGTGGGGGCGGTGCAGGGGGCCGAGGTGGAGTTGGGGGTCGCGGGCAGAGAGGGGGCTCAGTACTGAGGTCGGAGCCGGTGCCTAGCAGCACGATGACAGCATCTTGCCCAGCGACAGCCTTGTCCACAACGGCTGCCTCCCGAACATCGCCCACTACCACATGGGCAGGCTTGGGCCCCTCAGAGGGCAGCCGGGAGGGGTCCCGAACCAGCACTGTCACTTCGTAACCTGTGGGCAAAGAGGAGCAGAGAGGTTGGTCAGTGGGGCTTGGGGATGCCACCTTGGGTCTGCAAGGGGTGGGTCCAAGAGGCCACCATGAACCTCTAAATTTATCTCCTAGGTCTTCTGCTCTGGGGCTGTGGTCTTCAAATATCTTTGCTGGCATATCTACAGTTGATGTCCAGCTAGTTGTTGAAATAGGTGACACTTTCACCCTGATTCACAAACAAATCTGCACTGAGGCCTCCAAGTTGCTCCCCTACAGGCGTCCTACATTCTAGCAGCAAATATCAGGCATTGGTCTATGTTCCCTATCCAAGGTCCTGGAGGAAACTGAGGTACTGAGAAAGACAAGAGCTGCCTAGAGATTCATCAGCATTGAAATTAGTACCTGATCTTGTCCCTGCTTTTGTTGCTGGAGGGCCTAGCCCTCCTTTAGGGGTCATTAAAAATCTTGAATATCTCCTCAGTACTTCCTCTCCCAAAAGAATTTTTGATAACTGTCTTCCCCTCAAAATACACATACACACATATTTTGAAGTTTACAACTAATATATTTCTTCCTTTAAAAAAATTCTTTTAAAAAAATTTATCAGGTCCAGCTGAGGCTCAAACTTACCATCCCTGGTATGCGGGACTGGCGTGCTAATAATTTTTAGCTGAGTCACCCCAGCTCACAGCAAACTCTAGGGCTGAAGTAATTCTCTTACTTCCATCTCCTGAGTAACTGGGACTACAGGGGCCCACCACAATGTCTGGCTAATTTTTCTATTTTTAAAAGAGAGATGGGGTCTTGCTCCTGCTCAGGCTGGTCTCAAGATCCTGAACTCAAGGAATCCTCCAGCCTTGGAGGCAATGTGAAATTAGGGACGCCAAGATGAATTAGAACAAAACTGAGGGACAGGTAGAATGTGGAGATCTGAGGTCATGGTACCCAGAAAGCCTCAGGGCTGGAGAACTGGAATGGCCACTAATAAACCAAAAATAGGAAGAAGGTAGATGGACTTCATTCAAATTGTTAGTGACTCGCTTTCAAAGTGTGCAGTGATTCCAGGTTGGTAATGATGGGTTTAATTTTTTATTTAAGGGGAATAAGTGCAGTTTTATGTGTGTGTATGTATACATATGCAGAGGGTGCCAAAAATATATACACATTTAAAAAAAGAAAAACTGTATTAAAATCATAATGTTCAATAGCCGGGCGTTGTAGTGGGTACCTATAGTCCCAGCTACTCAGGAGAGCAAGAGAATCACTTGAGCCCAAGAGTCTGAGTTTGCTGTGACCGATGACGCCATAGCACTCTACCAAAGGTGACAAAGTGAGACTCTGTCTCAAAAAAAAATTGTATGTTCAATATATTGAACATTAAGAAGAAAGAAGACCATAAGTCACATTTGAGCACTTCTTATATGTGTGTATATATTCAGTGGATTTTTTTTTTTTTTTGAGACAAAGTCTCATTATGTTGCCCTCAGCAGAATACCGTGGCGTCACAGCTCACAGCAAACTCAAACTCTTGGGCTTAAGGGATTCTCTTGCCTCAGCCTCCCAAGTAGCTGGGACTACAGGCGGCTGCCACAATGCTTGGCTATTTTTTTGTTGCAGTTGTCATTGTTGTTTAGCAGGCCCGGGCTGGGTTGGAACTCACCACCCTCAGTATATGTGGCCAGCACCATAACCACTGTGCTATAGGCACCAAGCCTATTATGTGGATTTTTGACAAGAATGCCAAGAAAATTTCAATGGGGGAAGGACAGGTCAACAAATGGTACTAGGATAACTGGATATTCACATAAAAAAATGAAGTTGGATCCCTATCTCACAACATATAAAAAAGTTAAAATGATCAAGGATCTTAGGGCTGCACCTGTGGCTCAAAGTAGTAGGCGTCAGCCCCATATGCCGGAGGTGGCAGGTTCAAACCTAGCCCTGGCCAAAAAGCTGCAAAAAACAAACAAATAAATAAATAAATCTCTTTAAAAAAAAAAAAAAAGGATCTTCCCACCCTAGTATCTTAGCAATTTAGGAGGTGGAAGAGTAAGGTGGGGTTGGAGGGGGTAGGGATTGCTTGAACCCAGGACCATCTGGTCAACATAGGGAGATGTGCTTTCTTAAAAAAAAAAAAAAAATTAAAAATTAGCCAGGCATGGTGACACACGCCTGTAGTCTTAGCTATTCAGGAGGCTGAGGCAGGGGGATCACTTGAGCCCAGGAGGTTGAAGTTGTAGTGAACTATAGTTGTATACTGTACGCTAGCCTAAGGGACAGAGTAAGACCTAGTCTCTAAAAAGCAAAACAAAACAAAATAAAGAAAGATGTTCGATATCATTAGTAATGAGGGTGATGCAAGTTAGTAATTCAAAACCATTAGGAGACACTACTTCATCCACCAGGATAGATATTATCAAAAAGACAAATGTGGGTCAGGTGCAGAGGCTCAATCTAAGCACTCTGGGAAGCCTAGGCAGGAGGATCCCTTGAGTTCAGGAGTTTAAGACCAGCCTGAGTAAGAATAAGACCTTGTCTCTATTAAAAATAGAAGAATTAGCCACGCATCATGATGCATGCCTGTACTTTGGAGGCTGAGGTTGGAGGGTAGATTGAGCCCAAGAATTTGAGGTTGCTGTGAGCTATGATGCCATAGCACTCTACCCATGGAAGATAGCAGACTATATATATAAAAAAAAGACAGATGTAACTGCTGGTGTGCATGTGGGGAAACTGGGATCTTCATACACTGCTGAATAATGCAACTGTCTTAGAAAACAATCTGGCAGTTCCTCAAAAGATTAAACTTAGAGTTACCATATGACTCAGCAATTCCACTCCTGGATATATGCCCAAGAGAAAAGAGAATATTCAACCTGAGAAAGCTAATTATATAAAAAAGAAAACATATGTATATTTACATAAAAATTTGCATGAATGTTCATAGTAACATTATTCATAGTAGCTGAAACACCCCAGCTATCCATCATCTCAACTGAAGAATGGATAAATAAAATGTGATGTATCCATACAATGTAACATTTGTCAGTAAGAAATAAATGACGTGGCTTGGCGCCCTTAGCACAGTGGTTACAGTGCCAGCCATGTACACCGAGGGTGGTGGGTTCAAACTGGGCCCCTGGCCAGCTAAGCAAGATGACAAATGCAAAAAAACAAAACAAAACAAAAGAACTCCAAATAGCCGGGCATTGTGGCAGGTGCCTGTGGTCCCAGCTACTTGGGAGGCTGAGGCAAGAGAATCACTTGGGCCCAGTAGTTTGAGGTTGCTGTGAGCTGTGGCGCCATGCACTCTATGGAGGGTGACATGGTGAGACTCTGTCTCAAAAAGAAAAAAGAAAGAAAGAAATGATGTGTGAATACATACTACAACATGGATAAACCTTGAGAAAATGGTTTTTGGCTAAGTGAAAAAAGCCAATCACAAAGAAATGATATTGTATGATTCTATTTATGTAAAATGCCCAGAATAGGCATAAAAATCCATAAAAACAGGAAGCAGATGAGTGGTTGCCTAAGGCTAGAGAGTGGTTGGGCAGAAAAATGGGGAGTGACTTCTAGGGGTTTCTTTTTAGGTGGATGAAAATGTTCTAAATTGTGATGAAATTTGTATAACTCTATAGATATGCTAAAAACCATTGAATTGCCTGTGTGTGTCTGTAAGTTGACCACCCAAGGGACTGCAAGAAACTGGTCAACATACAGAGGTAGTCAATATAAGAAACTAGGTCTACTGTACTGATTGTACATGTAGTACACATCTGGCCTATGAAAATTAGGTTAACTTAACGAGGTGGTCAACTATGGAGGTTCTACTGTGTATATATATATGTGTGTGTGTGTGTGTGTGTATTTCTTTTTTTTTTTTTTGAGACTGGGTCTCATTCTTTTGCCTAGGATAGAGTGCAGTGGCATCACAGCTCACTGCAACCTCAAACTCCAGGGCTCAAAGTGATCCGTCTGCCTCAGCCTCCCAGGTAGTTGGGGCTAGGGCGATTTTTCAATTTTTTGTAGAGATAGGGTATTGATATTGCTCAGGCTGGTCTCAAACTCCTGACCTCCTGTGATCCCTCTTCCTTGGCCTCTCAAAGTGTTAGGATTACAAGTGTGAGTGAACCTCCACGCCTGGCCAAATTGTATATATATATATATTTTTTTTCAGTTTTTGGCTGGGGCCAGGTTGTGAACCCACCACCTCCAGTATATGGGTCCGGCATCCTACTCCATGAGCCACAGGCGCCGCCCAAAATTGTATATATATATATATATTTTTTTTTTTTTTTTTTTTGAGACAGAGCCTCAAGCTGTCCCCCTGGGTAGAGTGCCGTGGCATTCCAGCTCACAGCAACCTCCAACTCCTGGGCTCAAGCGAGTCTCTTGCCTCCGCCTCCCAAGTAGCTGGGACCACAGGTGCCCGCCACAACGCCTGGCTATTTTTTGGTTGCAGCCGTCATTGTTGTTTGGCGGGTCCGGGTTGGGGATTCGAACCCGCCACCTTAGGTGTATGTGGCTGGCGCCTTAGCTGCTTGAGCTATAGGCGCCGAGCCCAAAATTGTATATTTTAAATGGGTGAATTGTATGGTAAATGAATTATAGCTCAACAAAGCTCTTATAAAAATGCAAAAGCAAAATTAAAACAAATTAACAGAAAGTTTAGAGTAGTATCTGGCTCAGAAGTAAGTGGTATCTGGTTGTTTGCCATTGTTTATTTATTTATTTATTTTGAGACAGAGTCTCACTTTGTCACCCTCGGTAGAGTGCCATAGTGTCACAGCTCATAGCAACCTCCAGCTCCTGGGCTTAGGCAACTCTCTTGCCTCAGCCTCTGGAGTAGCTGGGACTACAAGTGCCTGCCACAACGTTATTTTTTTTTTTTTCCAGTTTGGCCGGGGCCAGGTTCGAACCTGCCACCCTTGGTATATGGGGCCGGGTGCTCTACTCACTGAGCCACAGGTGCTGCCTGAGGTTGTTTGCCATTATTATGCCTTATAATCATTTCACAATTTTTATCCCCTGGCCTGGTCCAGCCCGGAGTCTCTTTCCTGCTCCCTGGGCTCCCGTACCCACTCTGGACCTCTCCAATCCATATTCCATAGGGCAGCCAGACAGAGCTGTCCACAGTTTTACCTTTTCAGATCCCTCCTGCAACCCCTTGAAGGCAGTGGAGAAAGCCACATTCCTCGTGACAACCGTCAGGGCCCCTCAGGATCTGGCCTCTCCTCTCCGCTGCCCATGTCTGTGGACACCCACTGTTCTTCTTTCAGTTCCGCATACTGTTTCCTGCCTCCTGGCCTTTGCACGTGCTATCCCTTCTGCCTAGAACAACCTTCATCCTCTTTCCTCAGGTCCCTCACTCACTTGAACTTCCTTTGTCACGGCCCTCCTTATTCTGACTGGGAGTAAACCAAGGGCTCTTGGAGTCCAAGGACTGTCATATTCACTGCCATCTCCACGATCCTTTATAAACATAACAGCACAGGCTTTACTGCCCCATGCATCTACATTCAAACTCCAGCTCTACCACTTACTGGCTGAGAAATCTCAAGCAACATTTCCCTGATTGGACCTCAGCTTCTTATCTCTGAAACAAAGATCACTACACCCAGCACCCCCATCTTATGTGATACCTTTTATAAGAGAATGACACAAAACCTGTGCTGTCCTCACACATGGGAGAGCAGCAGCAGAGGATGGCATGGAGTCAATGTGGGCACTGCTTAACTGCCTCTGCAGTGGATAAAATGGACCCAAGTCAGGGCCCTAATCAACTGTGGGAAGCTTTTTTGTTATTTTTTGTTTTTAGACAGAGTCTCACTCTGTTCCTCAGGCTAGTGTGCTGTGGTGTCAGCCTAACTCACAGCGACCTTAAACTCCTGGGCTCAAGTGATACTCCTGCCTCAGCCTTCCCAGTAGCTGGGACTACAACTGCCTGCCACAATGCCTGGCTAATTTTTCTATTTATTTTATTTTATTTTTTTGCAGTTTTTGGCTAGGGCTGGGTTTGAACCCACCACCTCCAGCATATGGGGCCAGTGCCCTACTCCTTTGAGCCACAGGCGCTGCCCCTGTATTTATTTTTTCATAGAGACCGGGTCTCACTCTACCTCAGTTTGGTCTCAAACTCCTGAGCTTAAGGAGTTCCATCTCAGCCTCCCTGAGTGCTGGGATTATAGGCCTGAGCCATCATACCAGGTCAACTGCGTTTTTTTGTTTTGTTTTTCAAGAAACTTATTATGTTGTTTTGTGGTCTGAATGTTTGTGGCTCCTTAATGGTATTAGAAGGTGGAGCCTTGGAAGGTGATTAGGTTATGAGGGCTCTGTGGTTAGTGCCCTTATAAAAGTGACTAGTAAATGTGATTAGTACCCTTATAAAAGTGATTCCTGAGAGCTAGCTAGCCTCTCCCACCAGGTGAGAATACAGTTAAAAGGTCTATGAAGAACAGGCCCTCACCAGACACTGCTGGTGCTTTAATCTTGGACTGCCCAACCTCCAGAACTGTGAGAAATAAAATTCTCTTGTTTATAGGTTACCCAGTCTAAGGTATTTTGTAACAGCAGTCCGAACAAATTAAGGCACTTGTTCTCACAGTGAGAGCTTTGACACAAGCACAAGGATACCCATCATTGGTGCTGGTGACAACACTTACTGGGAACTTTGCATGTGCCAAGTGCTATGCTATGCTCCTTCCATGGATGAATAGCATATTTTTCAGAAAACTGTTTTTAACACAACTCACATTAAATTTAAGGAGCCACATGTAGCTAGTGACTAGGGGCTAAAACACAGGTTTAGAATGTACAGACCTTACCTTTTACAAAAAACAAGAGCATTTGTATCTCATTTCCAAACTTTAAAAAACAAATCCCTTACTTTATTTACATTTTTGGTAAATTTTTATTTTGAAATAAATTCAGACCTACAGAGAAGTTGTGAGAGCCAGATTCATCATATTTGTTTTTGCTTTATCCTTCTGTCTCTCTCTGTATATATACAAAATATATATTAATGCTAATTATATACTGGTGTCTCTAAGTACATTGATACATATCAACATATGTATATATGCAAATTTTTCCTACTAGTTGAGGGTTAACTGCAGGTCTTTCCCTTTTTAAGCTTTTTTTTTTTTATCTCAACTCTTAATACAAAATAGATTTCATAGCTTAGCACACAAAGTCATAGATATATAATTGAAACAAAAGATTCATAAGACTACTATCTAACATGTAATACATTTTGATACTGTTTGGCCAATTAAATATAGTTCAGAACTCACTGTGACTCAAAGTTTGAGACGCAACATATTGGAACAACTCTACAAGGTAGGGAAATAGGCAATTTTAGGCAGCTGGGACAGGATCACAGTTAGTAGGTAGAGAAGGTTGTTTTACCTAAATGAGTCTGATCTGGAGCCTGTAGAAGTCAATGGTAGGATATGATCAGAGTTCATATCTGAACAGAAGCCAAGGAGTGTTTATTGACCACCAGCTATGCATGGAACATGGCTGGGCTAAGAGACAGCACAGAGTGGCATCCTGGTGGCCTCCACCCTTCTGGAGCATGTGGATAGTCAGAATCTTCAGAGTCACCAAGGCCCCAAAGAACCATCAAGAATGCCAGTTTAGGGCTGAGTGCCCATAGCTCAGTGGTTAGGGTGCTGGCCAGATATACCGGGACTGGTAGGTTCAAACCTGGCCCAGGCCTGCCAAACAATGACAGTGTACGACAAAAAAATAGCCAGGCATTGTGGCAGGCACCTGTAGTCCCAGCTACTTGGCAGGCTGAGGCAAGAGAATAGCTTAAGCCCCAGAGTTTTTGAGGTTGCTATAAGCTATGACGCCACGGCACTCTACCGAGGGCGACATAGAAAAACTCTGTATCAAAAAAAGAAAAAAAAAAATGCCAGTTCATCTAAGCCTTTCCTTTTTCTGAAGGGGACAGGGTATTTTGTCAGAGCTGTGAAGACTTTTCAGAATTAGTTACACCATAGGCCCCAACTCTCAATTACCCTGGGTGCAGTCCCACCTGTGACCAGCAGGGTGGGCGAGTGGAATTCAGTGGATTTCCAGGTGACTCAGCACCTTCTCAACTTCTTCCTTACTTCCTTTCCCACTCTTCCCCCAAAATGCTTATCACCAAATTGGTTTTACCTGGAAGGTCCGTGGCGCGCCCCTTTCCACAAGTCAAGATCCTCACTAGGTCTCCCTGGGCAGGGACAGAGCCATGGGCCTAACAAGGAACTTTCAGGCATAGTTCCTCCAAGGGAGGGCTGGGCTAAGAGACAGCACAGAGTGGCATCCTGGTGGCCTCCACCCTTCTGGAGCATGTAGATAGTCAGAATCTTCAGAGTCACCAAGGCCAACGGAGGTGGGGCCCTATATCTAGAAGTCCCTGGTTCCACTGGGAGTTGGCAAACTCTGGACTGTTAGGGGAGGGGATGCTGGAGGATGGTTATCCCTTTTCCTACCCCCTCTCCTGGAGCAACTCTGAATTTGCAGCCCTCCTTGACTTTCCCAGGACTAGTACACCCAAGTCTTTACTCATGTCTCTGTGACCTCTTTCCATTAGGTGCTCACTGCAACTTGCCCCTCCACTTTTTCAATTTCCAGTTCTTGTACCCAAGCAAAGAGCCTATGAACTTTTGGTGGTTAAGAGCATGAACTGGGTTCAGATCCCAGCTGTCATTTAACAGGTGTGTGATATTGGACAAGTCACTCTCTAGGCCTCAGTTTTCTCATCTGTCAAATGGGGGAATACTAGCTTCTACTCCATATAAGGATTGCCAGAATTTAACACACGTGTAGAGAAAACAGCGTTGGGCCTGGCTTAGTAAAACATCTCTGGGAGTGCTAACCACCACCACCATCACCACACTGACAACAACTGCACTGCATAAGAGCCTTACATTTACACACAATGGTGTCACTGGAGTCCTCAGGCTCCCATAGCCAATTCCTATGTCTTGGACTCACCTAAAATTGGATCTCATAGCCTTCCTCATTTATGCCCCCATGGTTACTTTTGCTTTGCTCTCTGAGTCCTCACACACTTGGCTGGGGCATTGATGACCCCAATCAGCCTCGTCCCAACCCCATGATGCCCCTTCCTAATGCTATGGCCATGTACCCCGTGACATCCCCCGCCCGCCCCAGCTCATGCCTGCTTGCACCGCCTGCGCCAGGGTGGTGAGCCCGGTCCTGCCAGTGGCGCCGAAGATTACGATCTTCTTGACGGCCATACTGCGGGGTAGTGGGCTTCAGGGCCTCAGGACACGCGGGAACCCACTGGCTGCTGGGTGGCGCTTTCTGTCCTTTTCTACCAGGAACAACCGGGCGGAGCCAGCTCCTAGGGCCACGCCTCAGCCCCTGTCCGATCGCTACTCTAGTTCAGAAGCGGGACCACAAAGCCACGCCTCCATCTGGGAAGTACGCAGATAGGCGGAGCCGGACTCAGTTATAGTTCACTCACTGACCAAGCGACCACCACCGCCCTCTCAGTTCACTACTTAGTCTGGAAGGAGCGGCCCTGTAGACCCCGCCTCTAAGTGGGCGGAGCCAGGAGAGTTTGTCACTCAGCATCGGTTTTCTGAGCGTCAGCCACTGGGGAGGGGCGAGGCTAGGATAGCCACGCCCACCGTTCTCTCCGAGTTCACGCCCCTTCTTCTCACCAGAGCCTAGAGGCCAAGCTGGGACTCCTGCTCTTCTCCCCAGAGCCTAGAGGCCAAGCTGGGACTCATGCTGTGTCCCAGGGTATCCCGAAAAAACATCAGAAGACAATAAGGGAGGACTGTGCGTGCGTGTGTAGGTGTGCTGGACACTGTGACTGCATGTCTATATACCTGTATGACCCCGTGTGACCTTAAGTAACCACAAAAGAGAGCACAATTGTGGGCGACACCTTGTATCTTCCTCTGTGTGTAACCCCATGTCATAGTGTGACTGTGTGTGACACTGTGTGACAGGCATTGGTACTTCTTTGGTGACTTTGTAGTGACACCGTGGGTCACCCAGTAGGATATGAGGAGTGAGGAACGTGTGTGAGGTGTGCTTTATGGGAGTGTGACTATTAGACTGCAACTGTGACGGTGTGGGACATCACATATGTTGTGTAAAGACGTGTGACACTGGGACCCCATCTGAGTGTGTGGCTGTGAGTGCTTCTGTTGTAATGCTCTCTGTGAGCCCCATGACTGTGTGATGTATGAGTGTGTGGTATGATGTGAGTGGTGACTGCCTTGAAAAGTTCCAATGTGGAAAATTGTGTGACACTCTGTGATTGTGAAGCTGTGGGTGATGTGTGGGTATATAACACTCTTCGTGACTGCTGGGAGTGCGTGACAGTGTGTGACGTGTGTTTGTATATGACACTTGGTGGTGGTGATCTTGAGTGTGTCATAGTATGACACTATCAAGATTGTTGAAGCGTGGGACACCATGTGTGTGACCGCGTGTGACAGATTTGGCCACGTATGACCCCATATGAGGGAGTGACACCATGTGAGTGTGTAGATGCGCTCTAAGTGACCCTGTGTGTGTGGGAATGTGGGAGTGCGTGACCTCGTGGGCGTGTGTGACTGTGTGTGACGCTGCCTCTACCCCTCGCGAGTGTAGCCGTGCATCATACTCCCTGGCCCGGTGTGTGACGGCGCGTGGGCCAGCCCAGCAGGCGGCCGGGGTTGCGGGGACCGCGGGCGGGAGGGGGTCCCGGGGACGCGCCGAGCGCAGCGGCGGCGCGAGCGGAGGGAGGCGCGGCGGCGGCGGCGGCTGCGGCGCATGCGGATCTGGCCGAACAGCGGGCCGGCGAGGCCGAGCTGAGCCGGACCAAGCCCGGCCGCGGACACCGACAGAGAGGGCGATCCCGCGCCGCGAGAGCTGGGACCGCCGCACCCGCGGCTGCGGGCTCAGGTGAGAGGCGCTGGCGTCGGTAGTCTCTCCCCCCAGTGTCTCCCCACCTGAGAGCATCCCTCCTCCGCGCTGTGGGCATGGCCTGAGCCCTGGAGCCTCCTCGGCTGGAGGAAGGCAGGGGGGTCGAGGGCAGAACCAGCTCCCAACCTCCAACCCGGTCCAGCCTCTGCGCTGCGCGCGGGTCTCGCCCTCAGGCCTTGCCCTTTCCAGGTTCGCCTCCTTGGGCACGGTGTCTGGACCACAGGGAGAAAGGCGCGGCCTTGGAAGGGCTAAAGCTTCTGATCCCACCCGCAGCTCAGCGCCCAGCCAGCCTTTGCTGAGGCGAGACTGAACACCCCTTCCCACCTCCCCCACCTTCTGCCTTCCTTCGTAATGGCCAGAGCTGTTCCTCCGCCCGAGAGCTCAGAAGTGTTAGGCGCCTCTCCATCGCCAAGTGTCCTCCATTGAAGAAACAGTGGTGACCACCGGTTAACAGGGAGGGAAACTGAGGCACAACGATGCCAAGTTAAAAATACCTGGCTAAAGATACAGGAAGAATAAAGCAGGACTTGAACTCATTTCTGACTTTGATTTGCTGAGATATATGAAGGAAGGGTGAAGAATAATAGCAGAACATGTATTGAGGGCTTGCTGTGTACTGGATACCATGTTCCCTGCATTATTAACTTATTTCGTCTTCAAACACCCCTGAGAAGTGGGTACTCTTATCATTATCATTTTACAGATAGACAGATGGAAGCCCAGAAAGGGGAAGTGACTTGACCAAGGTCACACAGGTGGTAGGTAGCCATGTGTCCATTTGCAGTTTCCCATGGAAGAAAAGAAGAATAAAAATGGCTTTTGGCATGTCTTTTTCCACTATACTGACCAAGTCCCAGACCCTGACCCTGTTTTCCTAGAATCTACTGGTTGGCAAATGTCTGGGTCTTTTGCAAAGGGGGACATTGATAGCTCTAACTCCCTCCTTTCCTAGTGTTAGAATCAGGCCTGGGGTTTCAGAGGGTGGAGGAGATGTATGTGATGTCACCCAATTCTTTACATTTCTTATTTACAATTCAGCGGTGTTCTAGAGCATAGCTCTGGAGTCAGACAATATGGCAGTTAGCTATTGCCACAATGATGCTGCATGAGAAGCCACCCAAAGCTCAGTGTCTTAAAACACTAAGCAGTTAGCATTTAGCTGGACTGAGTTAGGCAGTTCTTCTGGTCTCTGCTGGACTCACTCAAGTTAAGGTCAGAGTGGGGGCTATGTTGGTACTGCCTGCTGGCCTTGGCTGGAATGAGTGGAACCTTGGATCTGGTCTTGTCCAGACATGTTTTTCTCATGGCCATAACTGAGCACAAGCAGAAATAGGGAAGATCTCTTGAGTACTAGTTAAACCCAGAGTCAAGAGATCAGGCATGGCCCCCAACCTCACCTACTCTAGCAGTAGGAGGACACTGAAAAGTTATGTGGCAAAGGGTGTGGCTATGCTGGTGAAGAATTGGGGCCATTAATGCAATATTCTGCCACAATGTATATGTTTGAATTGTAGCTACTTACTAACTGTGTAACTTTGGGCAAATGGATTAACCCCACTGTGCTTCAGTTTCCTCCTCTGTAAAATCAGCATCATAGCTGGGTGTGGCAGCACACTCCTGTAATCCTAGCACTTTGGGATTGAGGCAGGAGGATCGCTTGAGAGCAGGAGTTCAAGAGCAGCCTAGGGGTGGTGCCTGTGGCTCAGAAGGGTAGGGTGCCAGTCCCATATGCCGGAGGTCGTGGGTTTAAACCCAGCACTGGCGGAAAAAAAAAAAAAAAAGAAAAAAAGAAAAGAAAAGAAAAAGAAAAAGAAAAAAGAGCAGCCTAAGCAAGAGAGAGACTCCCATCTCTACTAAAAATAGAAAAATTAGCTAGGCATTGTGGTGGCAACTGTAGTCTCAGCTACTTGGGAGGCTGAGGCAAGAGGATCACTCAAGCCCAGGACTTTGATGTTGTAGTGAGCTTTGATTATACCACTGCATTCTAGCCTAGGTGGCAGAGACCCTGTCTCAAAAAAAACAAAAAAATGTCACAATAGCTGATCTTTAGGGAGCTAAATTTGTGGAAATCTTTTATCTTTTATTTTATTTATTTATATTTTTTGAGACAGTGCCTCAAGCTGTCCCCCTGGGTAGAGTGCTGTGGCATCACAGTTCACAGCAACCTCCAACTCCTGGGCTCAAGCCAGTCTCCTGCCTCTGCCTCCCAAGTAGCTGAGACCACAGGCGCCGCCACAACGCCCAGTTATTTTTTGGTTGCAGCTGTCATTGTTGTTTGGTGGGCCCAGGCTGGATTCAAACCCGCCACCTTAGGTGTATGTGGCTGGCGCCTTAGCCACTTGAGCCACAGGCGCTGAGCCAAATTTGTGGAAATCAAATAAGAGAATGCATATAAAATATTGAGAATAGAGCAAATGTTCAATAAATGTTCACTATTGTTATTACTACATTACAGAACTCTATAACTGATAATGTTATTGTTCTATTAATCATAACAGTAACAATTTGCTGAGGACTTACCCTGTGCCAGGTGCTTTACCACAGCCCTGTCAAGGAGTCAGGGTGAGCATTATTGACATAATTACTATGTCCACTTTAAAGACAGAGAAAGTGGACGGTGCCTGTGGCTCCGTGGGTAGGGCACCGGCCCCATATTCCTAGGGTGGCAGGTTCAAACCCCAAACTGCAACAACAACAACAACAAAAAAATAGCTGGGCGTGGGGGTGCCTGTAGTCCCAGATACTCAGGAGGCTGAGGCAAGAGAATTGCCTAAGCCCAGGAGTTGGAGGTTGCTGGGAGCTGTGTGACGCCATGGCACTCTACCAAGGGCAGTAAAGTGAGACTCTGTCACTAAAAAATAAAAAATAAAAATGTATATATAATAATAATAATGAAGGCAGAGAAACTGAGGGCAAGAGGGGACAGGATTCATAGCCAGTCAGTTTCAAGTGGGACCTCTCAGCTTAGGCCATGTTTCCAGCCCTAACTGGCCTCTCATCATCCCCAGGCCCCACCTTCACCAATGGCGCAGATACCAGGGGAAGTGGACAATATGGATGGCCTGCCTGCCCCTAACAACAACAATCCTGCCACTCGCTGGGAGAGTCCGGATCATCGGGGCTGGGAGAGGGAGCAGCCGGCCGCCTCCTCTGCAGCTGCCTCGCTCTTTGAGTGCTCCCGGATCAAGGCCTTGGCAGGTATCTGGAGAGAGCTAGGGTGGGATGAGAAAGGGGAGAGAAGGTACCTGAGAACCTTGATGGCCAGGAGGGTGACAAGAGAGTTACAGACATTTACCACTTGAATCTTTAGAGTAGCACTCTCTGATAGAACTTTCCAGGATGATAGAAATGCTTAGTATCTGTGATATCTAATATATAATCACTTGTATGTGTGGCTATTGAGCATTTGAACTGTGGCCAGTGATACTTGAAGGACTGAGTTTTGCATTTTATTTAGTTATAATTAATCTAAATTTAAATAGCCACATGAAGCTCATGGGTGCTTATGTGGCAGCACAGCTCTAGAACCTGAGAAAATAGCTGTCCTCAGTGGCTAAGGCCATAATCCCAGCAGCCTGGGAGGCTGAGGTGGGAGGATCACTTGAGGCCAGGAGGTCGAGACCATCCTGGGTAGTATGGTGACACAACTGTCTCTACAAAAAAAAAAATTAAAAAATTAGTTGGCATGCTGGTACACAACTGTAGTCCTAGACACTGAGGAGGCTGAGGTGGGAGGATTGCTCAAGGACAGGAGTTGGAGACCAGTCTGGGGTAACACAGAGATCCTGTCTTTAAAAAACAAATTATGTTAGAAATTTACACTCCAGGCTGGGTACAGTGGCTCACGCCTGTAATCCTAGCACACTGGGAGGCCGAGGCAAGTGGATTGTCTGAGCTCAGGAGTTTAAGACTAGCCTGAGCAAGTGTGAGACCCCATCTCTAAAAATGACCAGGCATTGTGGCGGGCACTTGTAGTCCCGGCTACTTAGGAGGCTGAGGCAAGAAGATCACTTGAGCCCAAGAGTAACCAAGGGTAACAAAGTAAAACTCTGTCTCAAAAAAAAAAAAAGAAAGAAAGAAAGAAAAGAAATTTACAATCTCAGAAATGTGGGACTTGGTAAGCAGTAAGCATATGTCATTCGAATTCCAAAATGCAGGCTAGGTAGGCATGGTGGCTCATGCCTGTAATCCTAGGACTTTGGGAGGCTGAGGCAGGAGGATCGCTTGAGCTCAGGAGTTTAAGACCAGCCTGAGCAAGAGTGAGACCCCATCTGTACTAAAAATAGAAAAACTAGCAGGGCATGGTGGGAGGCTGAGGCAGGAGGATCATTTGAACCTAGGAGTTTGAGGTTACTATGAGATAGGCTGTTGCCACAGCACTCTAGGCTGGAGCAACAGAGTGAGACTTTGAAAAAAAAAAACAAAACCCAAATGCAGAACATCAGATCTTAGGAATGTAGACTATCATACTCAGCGTACTTAGACTTTTAGAATGTAGAATTTTATACTACCCTGGAAATGTAGAATTTTATACTCACAGACCTAAGAAATTTTTTTTTCTTTGAGACAGAGCCTCAAGCTGTCACCCTGGGTAGAGTGCTGTGGCATCATAGCTCACAGCAACCTCCTCCTCCTGGGCTCAAGCGGTTCTCCTGCCCCCGCCTCCCAAGTAGCTGGGACTAGAGGTGCCTACCACAATGCCGGCCTATTTTTTGGTTGCAGCCATCATTGTTGTTTGGCAGGCCCAGGCTGGATTCGAACTCACCAGCTCAGGTGTATGTGGCTGGTGCCTTAGCCTCTTGAGCCCCAGGCGTCGAGCCATAGACCTAAGAAATTTTAATCATTGGCCCCTAGGGTTTTAGGCCCCTCAGGACCTAAATTCTAATACTCTTGGGGTGTTATAATCCTAAACATTTTGAGTTTCAGATTAGAAATATAGATCCTGAGAACTTTGAAGCAGAGTGATCAAACCTTCTGGGTTTTTACCACTGAAACTCTCACCATCAGGCCGACTGGGATGGTTGGTTGCCTATTTGTTTGTTTTTTTGTTTTGTTTTGTGTTGAGACAGAGTCTCACTCTGTCACCATGGGTAAAGTGCCATGGCTTCATCATAGCTCATAGCAACCTCAAACTCTTGGGCTCAATCTGTCCTGTTGCCTTGGCCTCTAGAGTAGTTGAGACTAACGGCGCCTGCCATGATGACTGGCTAATTTTCCTATTTTTAGTAGAGACTGGTCTTGCTCTTGATCAAGCTAGTCTCTAATTCCTGAGCTTAAGTGATCCACATGCCTTGGCTTCCCTGAGTGTCCAGGCACTGTGGTCACCCTACTTTGATGTCATAGATTTATCAGCACAGACCAGAGAATTTCATAGTCATACACAATAGAGTCACAGAACCTAAGACCTTCAGAATTGTAGACCTTTGAACCTTAGGACTTCATATTCATAGGGTATTGGGATCTCAGAAGTGTTTAATCTTCAGAACTAAAACTCTGTATGCAAAGACCCTAAGAACCCTCAGAGATGTGTAACTTCATAACTATAAGCATTTAAAACATCAAACTCAGCTTGGCACCTGTAGCTCAGTGGTGCCAGCCAAATACACCAGGGTTGGTGAGTTTGAACCCAGCCTGGGCCTGCTAAACAACTATGACAACTTCAACAAAAAAACAGCCAGGTGTTGTGGCAGCTACCTATAGTCCCAGTTACTTGGGAGGCTGAGGCAGGAGAATCCCTTAAGCCCAAGAGTTTGAGGTTGCTGTAGCTGTGACGCCACGGCATTCTACCGAGGGTGACATAGGGAGACCCTGTCTCAGAAAAAAATAAAAAACAACAAAACAAAACAAAACAAAAACCCCTCAAACTCCTAGCACCTTTGACCCTTAACATCTTAGAAACATGGAGCACCATGATCATGGTATAGTTATAACCATGAAATCTTTTTTTTTCAGTTTTTGGCCGGGGCTGGGTTTGAACCCACCACCTCCGGTATAGGGGGTTGGCGCCCTACTCCTTTGATCCACAGGTGCTGCCAACCATGAAATTTTTTTTTTCTCAACCATGAAATCTTAAAACAGAATCAGTTCCTTCAGAATGTCAAAACTTTAGTAACTCAGCATTTTGGGATCTTTGATACTAAGATTTTTGGAACTTTATAAGATGACAAGTAGGGGTGTCAGAGGCCTCCAGGGAAGCAAGTGACATAGATAAGGAGTGTAGTGGACAACAAGGCCCTGATCACCAGCTCTGGCCAAGGGGAAATAAGGGCCCCAAAGTTGCTAGCTCTGACATTTGTCTGGAATTTTGCAATTAAAAAATATCTCCCTGGGAGGCTGAGGTGGGAGGATTGCTTGAGCTCAGAAGCTCACCAGCCTGAGTGTGAGTGAGACCCTGTCTCTACTAAGAACAGAAAAAACTAGCCAGACATTGTGGTGGGCACCTGCAGTTCCAGCTACTTGGGAAGCTGAGGCAAGAGGATTACTGGAGCCCAAGAGTTTGGGGTCCTGTGAGCTATGATGCCATGGCTTTCTACCCAGGGCCATAGAGTAAGACACTGTCTCAAAAAAATAAAAATAAAAATCCGTATGTGCCATAAAATATGAACCTTCAACCCATGGATTGCCAACTTCTTCTGATCTAGAAATATCATGGAAGTTTAGAATTATACCTTTAGACTCCTAGAACATCAAAAACACATGAACATATCAACTTAGAATTCTATGCTTTGATATTTTATCTATAAAATATTTGTTCAGCACCTGCTGTGTGCCTGGCCTATACTAGGCAATGTGAGGGCATAGTAGTGACTGAACCAGCCCTGGTCCTGCCCCCACGGGGCTCCCAGTCCAGTGTGAGGGACAAATCTAGCTAGACAGTGATGATCCGGGGTGGATGGGTGGGGTGGGGTTATAGGCAGAAGACTTGGGGCTGTTATAGGCAGAGAGCTGTGATGTGAGGCCCAGCTGTGTGTGTAGCAGCCTGGAGGAGGTACTTGACGCAACCCGGAAAATCAAGGAGGGCCTCCTGGAAAAGGAGATGCCTAAGATGAGGCCTAAAGGGATGAACAGGAGTGAACACTGAGGTAAAGAGTAAGTGGAAGAATATTTGTGGCAGAGGAAACAGTGCAGACAAGACCTCCAGAAGTTAGGAGTGGCTTGAGTGAGACGGCTACAGGAGAGAAGTAAATGGTGATAGGAGAGGAGCCAGTGTGAGACTGATCTTGAAGGGCCTTGCAGGGCATCAGGGAGCTGTGAAAAGATTTTAAACACAGATGGGATATGGCAAGATGAGAATCAAATCTTAGAACTATGCTTCACAGAGCATCTAGCTCAGAGAAATGTAGGAATTCCTTTTTTTTTTTTTTTTTTTT